AGTGTTTGTTTCAGAGCAGAACATATCTGCTTGCTTTGAAGTGCATGTTTTATGATAATAGGAATACTGTGATAAACAATAACACAGCAACTGAGCCAGGACAAAAACTGAGTGGGGGAATCTCACCTGTAGCTAATGTTCCCTAAGGGATAGATCATTCTCAGACCTCAGTGGCAGCTGGCACAGTTTAGAAAAGGCCTGTGATGATTCTCAAGGAAGAACAGAACCGATCAAAAGATGCCTAGTGCGGAAGTCCAAGCAAGATCATAGCTGAATTATGAAAAAGGGTCAGTCATAGACCATAGTCTTTCTATGCATCATTAAATGCTATCAAAGTCCTGCCTTCTCTTCTCCCAGGGGATAATTTTTGGGGAAAGCTTTAGCCTTGTGTAGACTTAGAGGCAACATTGACACTTTACTACTTGACATCCAAAGCTGTATTCCAGTGTAACTTTAAAGGAGACTCATGTTAAGCGGTGAAGCATCTCTGGGCCTGAGCGCCATAAAGGTTCAGTAGGCAGCTGACTTCTGCATCCTCAGAATGCTGGGATTCAGACAGCTGGAGTTGACTTCGCTAGCAGTGAGAAACCACTGTATTCTTGTCTGGTGGAGTAAGTGCAGATTTCCATCAGGAAATTCAACAAGAATCAGATGGTGACTTTAAGAATGACTACTCCATTGTGTGTATATTTGCAAAGGGTCAATTTGGTTTTGATATTTTATGGTATTTTTTTCCTATTGAATTAGTCATTCTTCAATTTATACCCTCTCTCAATATTTGGCAATGTGCTAGCCCCTCAATTTAAAAAAAAAAAAAAAAAACAACAGTATAATCAAAGAGAATGTTTATGCTGCTGAGAAGAAAGCTGTCACCACTGCTACCTGCTAGTGTTCTGAAAAAGATCCATTGGACTGAATGTGTATATATTAGTAAATGCATTAGAATATATACAGTGCATGTGTTAGTACTGGGTACATATGTTTAGAGAAACCAGGAGTCGTCATAAGGCAGAAAAAATGTCCACACCAAATGTCAAATTCAAATTTGAAACAGAAACCTCCATGAAAAAATAGGCCACATTTGTCAGAAATGGACTCCCCAATCCTGTGTCAGCAGCCTCCACTCCCCTCACTCCCATTAACAGCTTTTTTTCCCTACTTTCCTCTTCTCTCTAGTCAGCTCTGACTTTGGCAAGTGGTCAAGAAGTGAACAAGAGGGATGGAAGTTCTCTGGGTGTCTGACCCCTCCCTGGCCATTCAATCATGCAAACTGTGTAACTCGGGTTTTTTTTGTTTTTTTTTTGTTTTTTTGAAAAATGTTTTCTTTCTTCTCCTCTTACCCCTGTAAGGCACTGCCTCTTTTTCTTCCCCACCACCACCACCAAGGGAAACAATTGACAGCATTAGTATTCCCATGAAAAGGGCCAGTCACACAGGGTGCACTGCAGGCCCTTCACAATTGCTTGAGGATGCTGCCAGAGCCTGAGAAGGGACGAACTCCAATTGCTCCAGTTCAAACCAGTCCTGGCAGGGGCAGCAGGAAGAGACAGAACAGTAATTCCCACAGGACGTGGTACTTGCTGATCATCCTCCCAGGACTCAGTAGGGTTTCTTCTCCGAGATGATACCTGGTGTGCAAATCTCCTTTTAGAAATGCATAGTATAACTATGCATTCTTTTGTTGCCTTTCAAGAACAGCTGGGTGCTCTCACCTCTACTGAAGTGTCTCCTTGTGTCGCTTCCAGGAATTGGGACGCTCACCCAGGACACACTATGGTGCTTCAGCCAAGTGAAAGGTACTATCGAGATTGGAACTACAGAAGGTAGGATAAAGTTTCTAGGCCCTTTATCCTCATCTCCTTTGTGCGGGTTCATATTTGGAAACTTTCATCTTTGCTTTTTCAGTATAGGTCCCCACGCATCCAGAAGTCTTTTCTGAGTTAGAAATTAATTCCACCATTTCTCTTGACCCCTTTTCCTTTTTCTGGTGAAATTTGGTTTAGTCCCACCAATCAGACGGTGTGGAGATGCACTTTCAGTGACATGAGTAGATTTGCAGAGAAGGAGGCAGAATGAAGCAAGGCTTATTTGAGGATGGTCTCTTGGCTCTGCAGAGTTCTGGGTCCAGATGTTTCCAGATGGTCAGACTTTAAGCTCTCCTGGCCAGTCAGAGCTGAGGGTCACTGATTACCCATGAAGCACACAGGGAGCCTGAAGCATTCAAGTCTAGTCATTTGAATTATGGGAACATTGACTCCCAATACTGGCATATAATTGCCTTTCTGGTTCTCAAGAGATTTTCTCATCCCGGGCTCTTTTACCTGGGTTAATGTGTGTGTGTTTTCCTCCTTGAAAAACTTGTTTTTAATCTTGTTCTTTTCATTCCCTTGTAAACCTGGGTCTGAGGACCGTGGTGATGCTGCCTTAGGAAGTCTGCATTTCAAAGCGGCTGAATGATTAGCAATCAGAAGGAACTAGAATAGCCCTTCTGGGTGTTTTAAATCAAATGAGAGGTTCTAGCAGGATGCAGTAAGGGTTGCCTGAAACAAGTTTTCCTGAATTGATGGCAGGGATAGACTCCCAGTGTGAAATAACACTGGTCTGAAACTCATTTTAATGAAGGAAGGGTGAACAGTTGACAAGGTTGAACTTTAGTGTCAAACCGAATATACATAAATGCATGTGGACTTCGGGTCATTCTGTAGCACTTCATTTCTGAATAAAAAGTGAGTGAAAGTATTCAGCTAATGTGAATACTTTGAAGGAAATGGTTTATTTGAAATCTTTCTATAATTTGTTATTATAAACTCAATGCAACGGTGGATAACCTGAGCAAATGAAGAATGTTTAAGGAGTGGGAAAGAACACTGAAATAAATTAATCTATACAATTACATTTTCATGTACTATAACATTTTTTTGAAATGCATTGTCAAATAGAGCATTAGAAAGATCCCTCTAAAGCCCCTATGAAGACAAAGCAGGCATTATTAAACAAGCTTTATGCCCATCTAATAAAAAATGTATTGAGTATCTTCTACATAAAAGCATTATGCTAGGCAGTGGATAATAAGAAAAAGAAAGGTGGTGGAGGAGGAAGAGGAAGAGAAGAATGGAAAACAATGCCTTAACTCCTAGGCTCATGGATTTTAAGACATTAAAGCTCAATCTAATCAGTTATTTTCAAGCTTGGCCCTGACAAAAAAAATCTCTTATGCTTTTTAAACAATAAAGACTTTCAGGTCCTCAGGCACTGCTGAATTAGAGGCTTGAGGACCAGGGTGATGCAAGGTATTAATGAGCTCACCCAGATGGCCCTGGCGGAGTTGACTGGCATTTGAAGATCACAGAGATGAATGACTTATTCCAGGTTATCCATTGCCATTGTTCTCACACTCTGGTCTAAAATTCTTTTTGACTGACTCACCACCAGTTATAAGGACTATCTATCTATAGCTCTTATCAACTAAGGACTTACTATGTGATAAGCACTCTACTAAATGCCTAAGACAAGTAAATAAGATACTGATACTTTGAAAATACTCAGTATTTGTAAGTTATTTCTTAAAGAATATCATGATATTTAGGTATTTATTTTAATTTAATCCTCATCAAAATGCTATAAGAGGCAAGAATTTTTTATTCCTACTTTACCTATGAGGATAGTGAAGTTCAAAAAACAAAAAGGGATTCCAAAGCCCCTGCTTTTTAAACACTGTCTGGAAATCAGAGATTATGATTTTACAGTTTGTAATAAGGTCTAGAAATCTATACTTTTTCCTCACATGTTTTCAGCTGATCATCATGGATTTAGGTAAACTAAGGATAGATTTTAAATGTTTACTGTGTGTAATAAATAGACAATCTGCATGAACTGACTGTTAATTCGATCATAGAATGAAGATCAAAATCATAATAAATTCCTAGCTTTGAAAAATACACTTCAAATTGTGAACTAAGGCAGAAATATATTTTAAGAAATATAATCTGAACCCTAATAGTGAGCCACTGACATCAAAGCTCCCCGGCAAGCATATCTCAGATGCCATTTAACCTGCACTAATACTACCTCAATGTTAGTTGAATAATTTTTGAGTAAAGAAGTGAATAACCCTTGTTTTCTATTGGTTGAAAATCAGGTTCTTTTTCTTAAACTGGCCTAATCTTTCCAAGTTGCTTTTCTATACCAATCAAACTCAATGAAAATTATTCAACTTTACTTGTTCTTATTAATAGCTTTTTCCACTCCAGTTCTATCACTTTCTAACTGACAGTGTTAGCCAATTTATGTAATGTCTCTATGCTCTGATTTCCTTACTTGCAAAATGGGAATATTAATATAGCTATTCATTATGATGACTATAGGTATAGGTAAATAAAAAATCTATTTAATTATTATCTATATGATACTTAAATTATCATGACTACTGTCATATTACTGAACTAAGACTAACCAGATGAAGTGACAAAAATAAGGATAAACATTTTAATGCAATATTTTCAACATAAAAATTAATTCAAAGAATCTATGATGAGCAAAATATCAAATATTAAATAAAGACACATTTAGTATTGATTTTTTTCAAATACAGCTCAGCAAGGTACTGTTACTACTAATTTAGTTAAATGCGTGGCAGACAATAGGCTTGAAGTTTTTCACATTCCATGTCATTCACTAGGACTTCAGATGAATGATAGATACTATGAGTTGGACAATAAACATTTAGTGAGTGCTTACTACATCTAGAATACTGTTCCAGAATGTAAAAGCATTGTAAAAATAAGTAAAACGTAGTCCAAGATCTCAAGAAATTTACCACTGAGGGCTGGGAGTATAGCCTAACACACACAGGGTATTTGTCTGATCTCAAGTATCAAATAAACACATAAAACACCAATGTACCATTCAAGAGGAGATAAAATATGCCATGAGAGAATGCAGTATTAAATCAGTAAACATAGTAGAAAAGTGCTTTGGCTAAAGAATGAAATGTTTGAGTACAAAAAAGGTAGAAATCATATACATGGTGGGGAGGGGGCAGATATACAATGAGAAAAAAACATTTAACATAGACCCTAACTAATATTTAAAAATATAACATTTATTCCTGTCCTTTTCTGATTACTAAAACAAAATATTCTCAGAGAGGAAAGATTTAAATGTAACTAAAACATAAGTCAGAAACTAAATTTCACTCATAACCCCACAACCCACAGATCAATACTGTTAAAAGTTTATGGTATATTTTTCTAACCTTTTGATTGTGCATATATATTCATCAACTGATTCAGTCAACCAACAGGCACACATGCCAGATACAGTGCAACAAACAGCTTGGTTTACACCAAACAAAATCATAATGGGAATACTACCTTATAATTTGATGTTTTCATGTAATATAATGATCATCTTTAATATTATAAGAAGTAGGTATCTCCTAATTTATTTACCAAAAGTTTCCATTTTTATAACAGTGCTATGAAAATCTAATAGCTAAGTCTTCACATTTATCCAGGAAAAACTGGGCAGTACAGTGGAGAAAAGTATATTTTTCATAGTTAAATGTATTTGGCTTCTCAGTTTATTGGCATGGAGCAAGTCACCTCAAATTTTTATGATCCTTTTCCTAAAGTGTAAAATTGGGATAACAAATCCTATCTTATAAGAACTATTGAAATAATATATTTTAAACAACACAGCCCATCAACAATTTTCAGTAATGACATTTAGTTACTATGGCTGTCATTAGGATACATTCTCAAAAATAGAACCCCTTGATCCACACAGCTATTTTAAGTTTTTTTTTTTAATTTACACTAGTCCAGGTCCTTTAGAGAAATGCTGATGACTTACAAATCCACTAGCAATATTTAATATTGGCTATTTCCCAAATTCTATAATTTGAAGCATTTAAAAATTAGTGTTGCAGTAGCCATTTGATCCATACTTTCACTACCAAACCTCTCAGAGGATTTCAGAAAGCAGAATTCATGAAATATGAATTAGAGAGCACCGTGTGTGCAAAGATCCTAAGTTTTGTAAACTCAGAAAGAGGATGGCTTCTATTTTGCTGGGGCATAGAGTACTTGCAGAATCAAACCTGAAAGACTGAACTCAAAAGGTAAGTGGGACCCAGGATGTAAGGTGTTGAATGACATTAAGTAATACTGTAGATCTAGAGCCTTGTGTCGCCAGTTGATAGTGCTGAGGGTTGAACAATGCGTTGCTGGGCCATATTGACATAACTGAATTCAGATGAGCTCACTTTAGACAATGGGATTTAATCAATTTACTGGTAAAGTGGGAATTCTACTGTATTCATTAATTAGTTTGAGTTAATTAGTTCACTCTCAAATATTCAATAACTATTTATCAAGTGGCTGCTCTGTGGTAGGTACTGCTCAAGTGAATATAATCTTTGAGGTTGTAATGAAACTGGGAAAGGTGGGGCTGGGGACTTAGCTCAGCGGCAAAAGCACCTGCCTGGCAAGTGCAAGGCCGTGAGTTCGGTTCCCGGTACCGGAGAAAAACCCAAAAAAACAAAACAAAACAGAAACTGGGAAAGGTATAGACACGGTGGCATGTGAGTTCCTGAAGGAAGTCACTTTGGAATGGGACACCGGGCAAGGCTATCAGAGGAAGGAGGGCTGTGCCAGCATCTGAAGAATGATGTCTTAACTGGTGGAGGGAGTAATCAATGAGCTGATGTATAGGCCCAGCACCAGGAAAGGAAGGATATTTTCAAAGCACGTGGAAGAACTCTTCTAGCTCATGTTGTGTGAGAGGAAACTGTGTGTCAGCAGGGTTGGTAACATAGGGCTCC